TCTCTCTCTGTCTTTTGGTTAGTTTGGATAAGGGCTTATTTATCTTGTTGATTTTCTCAAAGAACCAACTCGTGGTTTCATTAATTTTTTGTATTGTTCTCTTTGTTTCTATTTTATTGATTTCACCACTCACTTTGATAATTTCCTGGCGTGTATTCTTCCTGGGAGACTTTGCTTCTTCTTGTTCTAGAGCTTTCAAGTGTGCTGTTAAGTCACTAGTGTGAGATTTCTCCAACTTCTTTATGTGGGCATTTAGTGCTATGAATTTCCCTCTTAGCACTGCTTTCATAGTGTCCCATAAGTTTGGGTATGTGGTGTCTTCCTTTTTGTTGATCTCTAGGAAGTCTTTAATTTCTTTCTTTATTTCTTCCTTAACCCATTGGTGATTCAGTTGAGCATTATTCAGTTTCCATGAGATAGGAGCTTACATTTTTTAAGAGCACAAATGTTGAATAGAACACTATGAACCAGAACCTCTAAAAGTTGTGACTAGTAAAAGAAGCCTATAAGACTTTGCTGCTTGGCATGTCATCTGTGGACTAGAAAGTAGTCATGTTCAATGTGTTATGTCATGATTAAGGAAAATGTAAATGGATTTGATCCAGTGAAAGACAGAGAATGTAAAGTTTCTGAGCATGCTATACAAAGAGTAAAACTAAAACAAGAGCCAAACATGTAAGATGTAGACCCTGGATGGACCTGACAGCCTAGCAGAACCCGAAGCGAACAACATGTGGAGACTGGTGCATGAGGAACGTGAAAGGATTAAGAGAAATGAAAGAAGAGCAGGATTTAATTCGAGGTGTGTGGGCAGTGTTGTGAGAGGAAAGATACTGAGGGTTCTCTACGGAAACAGAAGAGCCGAGTTCACTGAAAAACTCGAAGTACTTGTCAAAGATTCGACATAGATTTAGAAGGTAGCAAGCTTGATCAAAATAACAAGACAAGTGAACGCTTAGGGGAAAATAAAGAACCCAAGGAACACTGGAGACAAAGAGCAGACCTGGAAAGCAGGCAGAGATGGACTGAAGTCCCTGCAAACTGGCATCTCAACCCCACCCATAAAGAGGCTTTCAGACCAATAAACGCTGCAGGGGTTGGTGCGGAACTACCATGAGAGAACTTAAAATGTGGTGGAGGGCAACAAAATGGCATTCACTGTGAGAACAGAAGAGTGAGGAACCAGGATGGGAAATGGAGCACATGATTTCCAGCGAGAGAGGACAAGAAAGATGATGGAGGAAAGAATGGATTTATTTAGACTAAAAGACAAAATGGAAAAAATATGAAATGTACAAAAGTGGTACAAATAGCACAAAAAGATTTTTTAACTAGGGCAATATTTAAGTATATGGAAACTAATTGGACTAGATGCTATATTTAAAAGACAAATATTGGTAAGATTTTAAAAAGAAAGTTGAAAGTCAATATGCTGTTTATAATATATATTTAAAATTGAAGATGCAGAAAGCTTTAAAGTAAAATATTAAATAAAATATACCAAATAAATACCCCCACATCTAAAGAGCTGTCGTTCATGTCATTAACCCTAGGCAAAAGGGACTTTATGGCAGAACTCATGCTGGAGGTGAGGCGGGCAATTACTTAATAATAATGGCATATGAGGATCATTATTTGATAACAATAAACCAGTGAACAAGATATGTCTCTTGCAATCTCAAAATACATAAATGGAAACTTGACAAAAAGGAACAGACAAATTTGTCAATACAGTGAGGGATTTTAATGTGCATCATTAGCTAATAGCTTATGTTTGCATGTATCAGTAGGTCATAGACTTCAGCAACATAAATATTTGATCCAATGGACATTTATAGAATGCAGCACTCAACATATGTAGAAAGTTTAGGCCAATTCCGTAGCCATCTTTCATGAAGCTTTTTAAAATTTGGCAACAATACTTACCAACATTCTCAATTTTTAGTAATGGGAGGTATGGTACATCCTGTACTCCTGACCTCAGTGTGGTCAGTGCCCTTATGAAAAAGTGAAACATAGAGGCATGGATATTCAGAGAGAGAGAACGCTGGCAAGGTGGACAAGAAGCTGGATTGCTGTGTCTACACACCAAGGAAAACCAAGTGTGGACAGCAGATGCCAGCATCTATGAGAGATGAGTGGAATGAGTTCTTCAGAGCCCCAAAAGCAACCAACTCAGACAGCTCTTGGTTTGGAGGTTGCTACCCTCCAGAGCTGGGAGAGAATATTTTAAAGATTTATTTATTTTGTGTGTAAGAGTTTGTTTGCCTGCATGTATAAATGCACACTGTGTGCGGGCCTACTGCCCACAGAGGAAGACACTGAATCCCCCTTCTGACTAGAGTTATGGGTGATTGTGAGCTTCCATGTGGGTGCTGGGATCCAAACCTGGGTGTTCTGCCAGAGCAGCGAGTGCTCGTAAGTGCTGAGCCCTCTCTAGCTCACATTAGTGTTCTTTAAACCACCCAGTTTGTGGCACTCTGGTACAGCAGCTTTAGGAAACCTTGTCCGTGAATTCTATAGCTAAGAAGCATACATCTGAATGATTCACAAGTCAAAGGGAAGGGTAAAGGAAGTTAACTGTGTGTTGGACTAAGTGATAACCAAACACCATGTATCTAAAATAAACAGACGGAACACAACTTCGAATTTATACATCAGAAAAGAAAGGATAAAAATGAGTTAGCTATCCAAAATAAGAAATTGGAAGAAGGAATACGAAAGAATCCAAGAAAATAGAAGTAGGGACATAACAAAATCAAAGCCAAAACCAATGATATGATAACAAAAACACAAGGACATTAGATGAATTCCAAGAACCTGATGTTCAATATTTAAAAAAGCCAGTTTCAGAAGAATACTCATTCCATCAACTTAGGTATTATGAAGAAGTAAACATAGGAAATGTGGTGGTGTATAAAGAATGTGTAGAAAAAGGTTCTTTCTCCATGTGGCGTTTACCTCTGAGGTGAGGGAACAGTGTGGGATTGATGGACACAGAGAGCCACAAAGATCCGGGTGGGAACATGAAGGACAGGTGAATTTGGAAGCTGTATAATTATTGGCCCTGTGTAGTTGTTCCTTTGTGACTTCTCTCATGTGTCTTCTGTCTGTTTCGCCTAGATCATTGCTGACATGGAGGCCCAGGTTCATAAGCTGAGGGGAGAGCTGATCAATGTGAATTCTCAGAGGAAACAGCAGCTGGTAGAACTGGGTCTTCTTCGAGAGGAAGAAAAGCAGAGGGCTGCGAGGGACCACGAGACCGCTGTCAACAAGCTGAAGGCTGAATCGGAAAGGGCGAAAATGGAGCTGAAAAAGACGCACGCTGCCGAGACCGAGATGACCCTGGAGAAGGTGAGGAGCTGTTGGAAGGACTCTGCTTAGACTGTGGAAGTGCAGATTTAAAACCCACTCTCCCTGCTCTGGTCCTCAGTCTCTGGAAGTGGGCAGACATGAATCTACTCTTCAGATTTAGATGAGCAATTGGAATATCTTGCTCTGTCTTATGCACTGCTCAAATGCTCTAAGGAACTACTTAACTTTCCCTTGACTCTAACGGGAGGGGTCTCTGGGATAGCCCCTTTCATAATAATTAAATACTGTGATAGAATAGTGTCATCACATCATCACATACATGGAGTAGGGAATACGTGAGCTGTAGCTCTGAATTCTCTTAGGTTTAGAATGGGTTATACATTTTCCCTAGGTTGTTGTCTAATAGTTATTTCTAGTCTTCATAATTTCTCTTTAATAACACTAACAAAAATGATGATATATTCTCCTAGGTTGGTATTTTAGCAGAAATAAGTTCATTTAGAATATTATATTATTGAAATAAATATCAATATAGTATTTGCACATTTGGCTTGGATTACATTTAAGTTACAATCTAGAATATTCTTTTTAAAAGCTGAAATATTTAATCAGGTGCTGAAAGAGCATTGCTGTTCATCATATCAGCTGTAAATTGTTCCTGGAGCTCTTTTGTTTGTTTGTTTCTTAATGCCAGGCTGGATCTTCAGACTAGAACTTGGAAAGGAAAATTTAAGAATCATCTAATTCTGTTCAACTTCTACTTCTCTTTTCCTTTTCCTTTTCTTTTTCAAGTAATGTTGAGCCCCAAAAGAGCTGTACAATCACTCTAGGCATTATTTCACAGATTTTACAGTGTGAGCTAGGGCGGGGCCTTAGTGCCTTAATTCACACAGAAGTCAGATTTTTACACAATTTGCCATTGGCAGAGTAGCTCTGTACTCAAAATTAAGTAATAAGGATGCTCCAAAGAGCTGAAAGTGTGTCTGGCCTCTTAGAAAACCAGTGCAGACACTAGTGTGGCTGGAAATGATGACAAAGGAGACTCCAGAGAGGAGTCCTCAGGGCCTCAGCCCAGGTCCTGAGGTTGTCATAGTGTGACATATTACTGTGACTCTGAGTAAAGGAGGCATCCATGCTTGAACAGAGTAGTGGTATAATCAGACTGGACCCTGTAAAGTGGGATCTCTCCATGAAAAAAAAAATGGACTAGCTGGAGGGCAAAAGAGGAGGGAGAGACCAGCCATGAAGAACAGCAATAATTAAAACACACCATGAGGGGCTTGAGTCTGGGCAGTATAGCAGCAGCTGTGATTTCCTAAAAGAAAAAAAAATCAGGGTGTGTTTGAAAGGCAGAGCTGACAGGATTTACTGTTAGTTTATACGTGGGGCTGAGGAAGAGAAAGAGCATGCCTGGGAGCAGTCATGGTCATGCCAGATGCCAGTAGACTGGGGGGTTACTCTTTGCTCCACAGAAGACTGTGAGAGTAGAGGCCAGGCCATGCGGGATACATTCAGGCTGAGGTGCCTTGTGCACAAGTAAGTGGGATGTTGCTGAGCCTGCCATCAAAACAGTACAAAATAGTAATGCTCTAATGCTGGTGGGAGCAGGACCTTGCGAGTTAGGAAGCACCTCACACAGACAGACTGCTAATGCAGCAGACTGTAGGCAAGATGCTGGAGGTGACTTAGAGCAAGAGAAAAGGGCGGTGGACATTATCTTTTAAAAGATAGTTTTCAAAGATGATGAAATTATAGACCACAAGACAAAAATACATGTAGAAGTATGAATATAACTACTGTAAAGGAAAATGCAAAATAATTATTTCCTGTTGAGATTGAGGAAAATTAACAAGCGTCATTGCCATTTAAATTAGGTGTAAGTGAACTGAGGAATTTTTGACTAGTTGATATGGAGCATAGCATTCCAACTCACAGGGAAAAACAAATACAAGAAAAAACAAAACCATGTGCATGATGCACAGGGTGATCCTAAGAGGGGCTGGTGATGAGGCTGGACTATAGCTCAGGGAGCTTGGGGTCTCCACGGCTTTGAGTAAGTGACAAGAAGCCACAGATGATGCTGGGGAATTAAGTGTCGAGATCTAGGGATCGTGAGGAGGATCATTCTGTCAGCATCCTTTTGATGGCATAGCAGTAGAAGGGTTGATGGGAACTGGTCTAGTCCAGGAGATATCCTCTTGAGGCCTTGATGGAGAAGCATATGAGGTTGCGAAGTGTCTCCGTGGCAACAAAGCCAAAAGGACATGCTTGAGAGTCATTGCAGAGGGCAGGGGACTGGTGAGTCTTGTGAAAGGCAAACTTGCCCCTTAATCATTTGCAAACGTGGAAGAAGTCTCAGGGCTGGGAGGAAGCATATTAATTCACTTAGCAATGTGCTGGCTTGAGAGTGCTGCCTGAACATGAGCTGTGGTGTTTACTTGCTGTTGAAAGGATGTTTCTGGATACTTGAGGAAAAGGTAGGCCTGGAGAAAACAGGTGTAGAAGTTGCCCACAGAGAATGCCTGGCTTGTGTCTTTGGGAGTGAGACTGCTAATGAGAAGAAGGTGAAGAAGAAGGAAGAAGGAGAGGCAGGCAGACAGACAAACACAGTCAGACAAGCATTTCAGTCACAGAAGGGTCATCGAGGTAGAAGAATTATGTACAGAATTTATTTTCATGAAACACAGAAAAAGAGTCTTTGGAAAGCAGACCTGTCAAGAATGTGACAGAGAGTCAAGAAGGATGAGGGTTGAGGAGAGGTCACTGGATTTGAAGCTGAGAAGTCACTGATGATCTTGGACAGCATACTGAAAATGATAGTGTAGACGCAAACCACATTTGCCAAAGTTGAGTGAGGTCATGCAGATGTGGGAGTCCTCTGTTGACTGGGAAACTCTGACATTACAATCAGCAGGAGTCAAAGCAGAGTGTCTTTTTACACTGAACACCTCGAGCATTTTGAACCTGGAGAGAAGGGGCTATGAGAGGTAGTCCAGTCTGGAGACTGGCAGAAGAGGGCTGATAGCATGCCTCTGGCAGCAGAAGGGTGCACAGCTGAGAGCAAGCCCACCTCAGCCCTTGCCTCGAGGGTGCAGAAACGTGGGCTGTCAGTCTCTTCCTGGAATTTGCCACTCTCCGGCCTCCAGGTCCTACCACCTCGTGCTCATAATGGTCTAGAGTGTTCTACTAGCTAGCCTTCCCTTCCTCCCTCCGCCCTCCTCAGAGGATCCTTCACTGCATTCTTCATCACAGGCTGACTTACTTAACCACCTCTTTCATAATGTCTTTCTAGTTCGTCTCACAGTATGAAATCATGCTTATATTTGGGCTTTCTTGTCTATTCTCTATCCCTTCTGCCCACTAGAGTGCAAGTCCCACAGGCAGAGAACCTCGCATGCAGTTCAGCTGCACCACTGATGCTAGAGAAGCCTGGTGCATGGGAGATGTTCACCACTAGTTTATATTGTGTGAGTGACAGGAGACATACCTGTTATCCAGGAAAGAGGCAGAAAGAGGGTTGGTAAAGATAAAAAATTCCATGACAGAACTTGAAAGGAACTTATAGGCAAATATTACCACCAGATCTTGATGCAGTCAGGAGTTTCAAGAAGTAAGGAATTATGATCCATGGAAATCCAGAGGGAATGTGGGACTATGCTCCCATCCACAGGATGGAGTGGGGCAGTGTGAGTGTGGAAGAATGGGGTTCACTTCATGGACTGAGAATGCAGGTCATACAGAGAGACAGAAGTGAGCACAGTGGCTGTTGTCATCATGGAAGAAGGGCTCTGACGAGGTTAACTAGAACACAGGGGAACGTGGGCCGAGAAGAGAGCAGTCTGAAGAAACGCAAGAGAGCGGTGTGTCTTCTGACACTCGGGGACTGTTTGATTTGGATGAGTTGGTAGAATATATCAACCTCAAAGTCCATATGATAAAATCCAAGTACTGGTTTCTTGATACTGTCTTATTGATAAATGTTTTATTGAACTAGTACAAACAAGAGTTTAGCAATTTCAACTGCAGAAAATGCCTGGACTAAGTCAAAAGAATGCCTTGTGAATATTATTTTTTAAAACTCCAAGATCAAATATGATGCTTTGCACAAAAGACATTCATTAAATGTTATGTGAGTGAATCAAAGAATTCAGTATAGCCCTAGTGTATGACAGTGTGGATAAATAAATTATATGTCATCCAAATTTGATTTTAATCCATTATAGATAATTTGGATAGGGCAAAATTTATCTTTGTATTCAAATATTAATTTGTGTCTCATATAATTTCTTCCATATTATTTAAATAAGTTAAACATAAAGCTTATTTTAGTATAACATTGATTTTTCTCTACAAATTAACAAACATTTTAGATTCATCTATGAAAAATTTAAATCAGTACTGGTAAGCTGAAAGTTTAGTTGCTAATCATTCTGCAAAGTTGCCAAATTCTTATCACCCGATTAGAAAACTTAATATAGTGTAAGGAAGATAATTCAGTGGTAAGAGCACTTGCACAAATGTGAGGACCTGAGTTCAAATCCTCAGAATATCCCTGAAGAAAATGGTACAGTCATGCATACCCATAACTCCAGCATGAGCTGGGCCTTGTTGGCTAGGCTACCAACCCATAATGATAAACTTATGTTCATTGAGGGGCACTGTATGAAGGGAATAAGACAGACTGATAAAACAAGACACCCATTGTCCTCTTACCTAAGCACTTGCATGTGGCATGAACCCCCATATCTCTCTCTCTCTCTCTCTCTCTCTCTCTCTCTCACACACACACACACACACACACACACACACACACA